TCTCTCTCTCTCCTCCCTTTCTCAATCTGTCCCTTGATTACTTCTTAATGATTTCTGCTGCCTAAGACGAATGGCGGTGTTGAATGAGCAGAATTAGACAAGGGAGCCGAGCGGAAGAGCATTTGTTAGAGCGCGAGTAATGGATCTGGCGTCCATTGTTTACTCCTCTCCATTTGTCGGCTCGCCCCGCTGTCGAGCTCTATGCCTCAAAGTGGAGGCAGCAAGGGGGGCTGCCAGCCTTTTGATTCTGAAAACACATTTACATGAACATTCTATTTTTTTATTAATTTCATATATTGAAACTTAAAAATCTTTCAACAGCAGCTGGATTAGGGCACAATAAGAAGCACACCTCGCATGACACGTATAAGTAGGATAGAACTAGTATCTGATATAACTGTATTTAAATGAGTAGTTATGGGATATTCTACGTTTACCTCATTTACTTTCCCTATCTATCTAGCTATCTCCTCAATCAAAGGTGTTTAATCATTGCAAACATCAATTTTATAATAACAGCTTTCACACTACAGTCATGCTGAGGTTCTGGAGCCAACCTCTGAATCCCCTTTAACCTCAGCGGAGCTGACCCTCTAATCTGACCTGGAGCACAGGGGAAAACAAAAGAATTTCCCTCCAGCGATTAGACAAAGTAGCATATTGTTATCTCTGGATCACTACTGTAGTCTCAGTATCAGGAATTGTCATTGCATTTTGAGCAGTGGTCAGTGTCATGTGGTTTCCAGCAGGGTTTCTCAACCCTTTTTTTTATATCAAGTATTTTCCTCTACTCAGAACCACCTTCCCAATTAAATCAAATTGTAAAGGCTAAAATAGTCATTCTTTGTCAGCCTCGCCCACGGGTTGAGAATAGCTTGTTGACGACACCAGCAGCCCACACTACGATGTGGTGGTGGCGGCTGCCAGAGCCGAACTGACAGCCCGCCCTCCTCCGGGGGTCCCTGGGTTCCCTCCCACCCTGGCAGGCTGACAGGGAGTCAGGCATGGACAGTAAAGGGTGCTCCCTTGGCAGAGACGAGGCCTCGGTTAGCACTCCATGGGCACGGGCCCGACTATGGATCATTACTCCCCTCAGTGGAGTGTGTGTGTGTGTGTGTGAGTGTGCGTGCGTGCGTGCGTGCGCATGCTTACCAGCTTGTAACAGAATGAGATGATGGGGGGGGGACTGAAACTAGCTATTAATATTGATATCATTCAACACATCAGGGGTCTCTCCACAGTTTTGATGAGCCATTACACTGCGCCGTACATCATTGAGTATTATTTAAGTTAAAAAAGGAGACCGACGACAAAACACACTAATTACACTATTTACTACTAATTATTATATCATGCAGAGTCAGAGATTTCTAAGAATCTGCCACAGAACACATATATTATACATATAGTATTTTTCTAGCAACCAAGAAGTTGATGATCTGTGTTTTCTGCTGTATTCGTACTAGCCCACAGTTGTTGACCAAACATCCCACTCGTTTGCGAAACACCTATAATTTTCATTTCATTCATCATGGACAAAGCCATTATTCTTTTTCCATTTCACACCTAAACAACGCGGCGGCGTATTAACTTTGTGCAGGAAGAATAGTGAAGGGAACATTGAGAATCCGTGAATGATGAATACAAATCGCGTGTTTAACTTAAGATCCCCTCTCTGTGGATCTCTGCGCGGGATTGGCTCTGCCTCTCACGCAGGAGTTATGCAGGGAGCGTGGTGACTAATACAGAGTCATCGCTATTATTGGAGATGTAGGATGGATTGGTAAACTGCTGGGAGCCGGCAAACGGGAGCCTGCTGAGTTGTAATCTCATTTAACAGCTCAAAGGTGTGTGTTTTGAAAAGTTTGCTCCCTTGTGTGCATGTGTGAGCGCGCCCGGGGGGGGTGGGAGGGCGCAAAGTGTCTCTGCTGTTCCCAGGCCAGCTATTAGTCACGCAGGAGTGGCCCCGGCACCAGTCAATCAGTCCCGTTATACGTCGGCAGGATCCCACTGAGGCTTTTCAAATTCTATATTATCTCCTCTAAATCAAAGTAACCAAACCCTCATTGCTCTCCTCACGTTTGCTGCCCCCAGAGCACAGTAGTGGTGGAGAAGTCCATCCAGGACCTGATGAGCCTGATGCAGGACCTGAGCGCATACTCCAACCAGTTCCTTGAGATGGTTTGCGACAAGCTGAAAGAGTACAAGGACATCTGCAACTCGGCCTACAGGTAAAAGAAGTAGACCGAAGAGGGGGATGGCTCACCTGCAATGCTTTAACCGGAGGATTACAGCTACGTTAACAATATGCTTTTACCCTTTCTGTAACATTAACAAAAACAAAACTTTTTTTTTTCTGTTTGATCGAAGTGTTTGAAAAAAAGATTATTTTTTTCTTGAAGGCTCATAGCGTTGACATTTTTTTTCTTCCATCTGTGCTCCTCCGGGATCATGTAACACCTGGCCAGGTGGAGGGGAGGTGGGGGGTGTGGGTAGAGAATATGGAGGGATGGGGAGGGAGTGAGCAACGGGCCAGGAGGTGCAGGGAAAAGGAAAGCAGACTGCTGGGAGTCCATCTGGACTCAGTCACAGGTCACCCTCGGGCTCACCGGGGCCTCGCAGTGCTAAAAAACAGCCCAACCGAGGCTGCCAAAATGTGTGTGTGTGTATGTGTGTGTGTGTGTGTGTGTGTGTGTGTGCACTTGCGCATGAACAGGACTGTCTGTGTTAGTTGTGGATAGGAAACCACCGTTCTGCGTGTGTGTCTCATGTACATGGTGTATTAGGGTATTAATTGCAGAACCAAGCACAAAGACACATGCACACAAAGCAAATTTTTTGGCAGGCTGCCCCAATTCCTCTTCACGCCAAATCAGAGCTGCTCTCTGACGTCGGTACAGATGCTCCTGTTCAGCTACTTGACTATTTAATGTTATGGAGATGACTACTTCTAAGCCACACTTGTTGCGTGGCAGTTTGTCGCTGGACATTTTCAAATCACTTTTTCTGTGGAATGTCTTGACATTTCTATATTAGAGGGTTACTTTTTGGAATGAGTTCAACTCAACCATGGTTATATAGGATTAGTAACTGTATATTGATCTAACACCAACATTTTTGGTGCCGTAACGTGCCGAGCTGCGGGCAGCCGGATCGTGTCTCCTATGATGGTCTTGATGACAACCGTATAATATATATTGAGTGTGTGTGTGTGTGTGTGTGTGTGTGTGTCAACAGGGGCGTGGTCAAGTGTGAGGAGAAGCTCACCATCAGTGCCTCCTGGTCCAAAGACGAGGACATCAGCCGCCTTCTCCAGTCGCTCCCAAACTGGGCCAACATGGCGCAACCCAGACAGGCGCGGCAGAAGAGAGAGGATGAAGAGGACTTTACCAGGTAAACACACACAAACCATATGTACTATTTCATTTAAATGTGCAGTTGTTTGCATATTTGTAATTGTGTCATAAAAAAAACGCTATTAGAGTAGAGTAACAAGCGCACACTACACACACACACACACACACACACACAAGTAAAAGTAGACATACACTACCACACTTGAGCAATCAGCTAATCCCTCCCGTCTGTGCTCTTTTATTTGCACATGTCGAACCCTCAGTTGGTGACTAAGATGCACCCATAAAATAAGTCATGATTGCTCTTTTAAACACCCTCAATCTGAAGGAAGTAAGGAAACAAGGGACAAACCAAATACGAAAATGTAAGCAGAGCAGACGGCGGTGGAGGAGGAGGGGGGTCAGTCTTATCAAAATTGCCTTTGAAAGTGCGCACTCTTCAGGGAACACCGGAGCTCATCGAAGCGGAATACTAACGTAAATAAATAAATTGGTTATGTGGCCGAAGAAAGTCAATCTGTTGTGTGCACGCTCTCTCCCACACTCCCTCTCGTAAACTCCTTTTTCCAAATACACACACACACACCGAGGGCTCAGCGATAGCAAGAAGGGGGAGACCACAACGCTGTTTGATTTGAGAGCCGTAGATATTTCCATCACCATGAAAAGGGGATTAGCTTCTGCACGACTGGCAACCCAGTGCGCTAATGAAGCCTCATTAATAAACTACCCATGGCTACGTGTGCGCTTGTGTGTCTGGCGCTTCTCCTCACCCATTTGTTGTTCAAAGGATCTTGATCTTGTGGGCACCCCGGTGACTCCAGAGGCCGGATCCACATGCCGCGAGTGTGCAGCACTGCGGTGTTGAGATTGAGCCTTGTCCCGCTTTGTTGCCAGTTGCCAGATTCGGTTGTTCTTCCTAAACCGCGAGCGCTTGTAAATATAATAATAAAGGGGGTTTTGATCTGTAAGCCTTTGTTTTTCTACCCGCTAAATCTCCGCCGTCTGTTTGTGTCCCGCTTCTAAAAGTTCTCCATCGTCTGTTGTCCCATCCCTCCGCCCCTCACCCCCCCCGACTGTTTAGCTACAAGCAACATAAGTCTTTTATCACTGTAACTTTCTTTCTTGCATCCCTGCTCCTGCTCATTCCCACATCGCTGTGCCCTCATACATTGGATTTGGAAAATTGACTTCAATTATTGCATTTATGTAAACCACTCACTGCCTTTTATACTTGTTGAGTCTAATCGTAAAGCCATAACTAGTCATTGTCTGCAAACTTCATGCCGTAGAATGATTATGGGCTTTTTTTCTTTCTTTTCTTTTTTTAACCATTGTACCTCCGGTTCATCAGACATATAATTGCCTTTTCTCTGATAGCGGTCGTTTTTGAGAAAGCGTGTTTTGCTGTCCGAGTGACGGCCAACTGGTGTTTCTTCTTTGCCAACAAGAAGTGGCGCATATCCTTGTATTCACCCGCGGACTCTGTGCATCGTACAGGGCGGCGTTTGCCAAGGAGTCGGAGGTGCTCACCGGGAACCTCGGAGACAAGTTGATCCCCCAGAACGAGATCCTGCGCGACGTCAGTGACCTGAAGGCTCTGGCCAACCTCCACGAGAGCATGGAGTGGCTCGCCAGTCGCCTGAAGACCTTCTTCACCAACCTGCCTCATGCCTCCAGTAAGTAAGGGCAGCGATCCTTCGGGACGCGGAAGTGCTCGATGCTGTGATTGGGTGATCGAGACCGACGGTCAGTTGATGTAATTGCCAAGGACCAGGTTGTGGTCTACTACACCTCGCGGAAAGCTGTTCGATAATGATAATCGCGCCGTGCATTTCAGCCACTGAGGGCCTTCAATCAGTTGCACCCAGTTGTAAACCTCCAAAAAATGAGAATGGGAAATTGTGTTTGGAAAGTTACAGGTTACCATTGACTAAAATTGTGCCTAGCGCATGGTACTCATTGCTTACACCAATGAGTAAATTAATAATTTATGAAGAACATCTTCACTCACATTTGAGTCATTTTACTTCTTTGCATAATTAGCCTGTCGTATCTATGCATAGACATGACGTGCATAGAGGCTCTAACATCACGTGCCAGAATCTGCAACGTGGTCGACATATGGGATTCTTCCCCAACACCTTGTTCCTTCTGACCAACCTACTGTATGTATGTATGTATATATATATGTATTTCTCTCTCTCGCTCATATTTATATATATATATATATATATATATATATATATATTATAGTATATATATTATAGTGCGACTATAGTTGATGGAATTAAATTAAGAAGAAGGTTTGTGATAGTGTTGACAAGCGCATTTGCATACTTCCACCTACGTACGCACACTGACACCAACGCAGACATCTGTTGCCGTCAACTTGATTGTTGCCTTCAACTCTGACACAGGAATGCTGCTTGGCAGATGGTCGCGTTGCACCAACAACTTCATTCTCCTTCCTGGTGTTTTCTCTATCCCCAGTTTCTTGTTGTTGATTTCTTTTTCCAAGTTTTGTTGACAAAAATATAACCATTCAGGTGAGCGTGCGTGATTTCACATTACGTCCAACTGATTTAAGGAGTATGAGTGTTTAGTGCAGCCTGAGCAGACACCTGGAGAGCAATGTGACATCTTAGACATTTCTTTTAGGGAGACGTCGCTTCTAGTCTCTCTCGGGTCATTAAGTTATTGACAAGAATACACTGCGGATTAACAAAAACATTTTCTGGGTGGATTATTGAGGGTCACAGTCAGGCTTGTACAGAGGTTGCTCATCCTCAGCTGCGGCACTTTTGTAGCTACACTTCTTACCTGTGCCTTTTGTTTGCATTTCATACCCCTTCTCAGTCATCAACTTTGTATCCTTAATCACTGGTCAAAATTAGATGTGTTATTTTGACCACAATTTACCACTTATTCATCAGTATTGCTTTTATCCTCACTCATGTTGGGGACATGGTCGCGCTATAGAGCTCATAGCATCTTGTCATCTTCTTCTTCAAGTCTGTATCTTTTATTTTCACATCATATTACAGGCCAGCTTGGATTTTGTAGCTTGAACTTGTTGGTGCAGTCTTTTATTTGAGTTTTATTATATAGTAATATTTGTTGTGGCAGCACAATATAATCAGATTTCGGACTATTTCATCCTCATGTTCATTTAAGATGCTGTTTGTGTCATTCTGAACCGCCAATTTAATATTAACGCCATCGAGCTGAATTTGAAAGAGTTATCTGCTATAGTCACAACTCTCCCTCGTCCGTCGCTCGTTGCACTATTTTGCTCTCTTTCAGTCATGAAATAATTAAATGAGGATATTCAGATACTCTTATTTGGACTCGCCTGTCACTATCTTCTCTTTTTTAACTGTTCCCCTCGCTCCCACTCCGAGGCCAGCTTCCTTCGTTTGTTCACAGATAAGAATTCAATAAAAGTACGGCAAGGGACGTGACATAATTATCATTAATTCCGGCGGGTGGCACTAATGGGTCACTTATCATGCCGGGACAGCCTCCATATTGTTCATTATTTAGTGTTTGCCGAGCTGATGACCAACTACGTGTGCGCTGGTTTGGGTCTCAGTGTGTGCGGGTGTACATAAGCACGCACTGTGTAAGATGGGACAAGGGTACGGCGGGGGAAAAGGACCCGCCTTATCTCTTCCTCCACCCTCAGCCAGCCCCCCCAATCCCGTCCAGTGCCTCACGTCTTTGCCTCTCCAAATTGGATTTTATATTACAGAAGCAGTCAGGTATGAACAACTCATTTTGCTCTCTTTTTCTTTTCTTTATTTCATTTCTCTTTCTGACATTACTGCCTAACTCTTTCTTTGCATTTCCTTTTACCTGTCAGTAAATCTTTCTCTCCCGTCCTTCTTTGCCTCCTTCTGCCCTTCCTCATTCCAGTCCTAGTCGAGGGGGGGGGGCACTGGTCCCTTTCTTTGAGTGGTGTGGGTCCAGTGGATTCTGTCCACGGCTGGATAATCTTTTCAGTGGATGTTTGGTTTGGTCCCCTTCCTGTGTGATTGAATCCTTCTGTGTGTAGTTGTGTTGTTTACACACATTGTTACTCTCTGAAGTATAAAAAATACATTTCAGTTAGTGTGTACTTCTGCTTTGTAGCCGAATATCTGTGAGTGTCAGACTTGTTTTTGTGTGTGTGTGTGTATGTTTTGGTAATGATGTGCGTGCGTGCGTGCGTGCGTATATGCAGACAGTCCACGGATGGTGATTGGCCGTGAAGGTGGCTGCAGAGAGGGTCTTATCACCCATCTGGTCGCAGGACTGGACTTCTAATCCACTCTGACAATATTTACCCGCCAGCGCGCTCACACACACACACACACACACACACACACACACACGCGCCTGAAGGGCATGTCAGCTTGACAGCTTCTTCTTCTTTTTTTTACCATGGACTGCTATGTTTGTTTGTTTAGACATTTTAATAATATTTGCTAGTCTGGTAGCCACGCTGGATGTCTGTGTACTCGACATCAACCAGCAAATAGGGGATCAAGAAAAGTCTTCTTTTTCCCCCTTTTTTTTCTTTTTCTTTGCAGACTTTTTGCTGCTGAGCAACACTTAATTGTCTTGTGTGCAAATGCTGGCGTTCATGTAGGAGGCCTGACCAACATTAGACAGAAACGCGCCGCAGGGCCTCTGTACAATAAGCAAGTGATCTCCTCGTGGGAATAAGTTCCCTCTCTCTTGCTGAGATGCAGAGCGCTTATGGAATGCACTTTTTTGACCTTGACTATGGTGAGTGCAGGTCTTCCCCTTCGGCTAGTTGACCGAGAACTCATTCACCGCAGACGCCTCTGGGACACGTTGCCACGGGAGAAGATGGTGTTGTTTTTTTCAGTGTGAAATATTGTCTTTGGTTCCATCCATGTGGGTTTTATTAGTGTCTGTCCAAATGTATGTATCGGAACTCTCTTGCCTCTCACTTTCTCTCCGGACAGAAGTTGAGATCCCCGTGTTGAAATGTTCATCCTCCACCAGAGGCAGCAAAATGATTAATAACTCCCCTCTCTCTCCTATTCCGTCATTTATGAATCATTCATCATTCCACTACAGCAGGAGACCGTCCCATCTCTCGTTTTGCTCTTCATGCTCCTTTTTTTGTGTATTTTAAACAAAGCATATCATGATTTGCATCAAATATAACCATCTGGATGTCTCAATGGCACTCACAAATGTCAAGTGATATTGTTGTTGCATTCCTGATACTGTTGATCCCCTTAATCGCAATTCAAAGAGTGCAAGATTAGCTTTGCCTTCATATTTGAATTGTCTGCGTATGTATGCATGGACGCATGCTGTATATGCTTGTTAGAATATGAATTCTATCGCTGATTTTCTCCCTTAAAGACCCCCTCCCTCACCGTCTGCAGATGGCGAGCGCCAGACGTTTGTCTTAGACGGGATGGAGAAGTAATTAGATAAGCACAGTGCTCACGTGCGCGAGCACATGAGGGCGTAAAGAGATGCATGACAGGCGCATGCTCATCCTCGCATCTTGTCCGCAGAACAGTGTTTCCCCAAGGTTTACAACTTTGAGGGGGGAGCGGGGGGTGCAGTAGTACCGCTCCGCTGGGGGAATACTGTTGCTCTCTGCGCTCATACACAGAGGTGGTGTACATATATTTTTAATCTCTATACTTTTGGGGGGAGAAAAACACTGCAGAGTAAGAAAAGGAGGGCAAGAAAGATGTCTGCCAGGACCAATGAGCTGTCTCCTTTCGCCTCCCCAACTAATGGTGCCCCCCATGCTGCGACCCCTCCCTCGCACCATCAAAGCACTGAGGCAATAAGGGGGGGCGGGATCAGAGCTTGTCTATGTGCCTCTGCGTGTGTTTTTATCACGAATGCCCCCTGGAGAGACCTCCAGCAGTGTGTGCCGCAGCACTTTTTTTTTCTTTTTTCTATCCTCTGCCAAAGTGAGTGAATGCAATGCACATGAGAGGAAGCAGAAGCCTTCGAGTCACTTTCACACACTCGCCTGTGTGCACATGCACTTTTGGTGGGAAAAGAGTCCAGCGAGGGCCACAACCAACGCGAGCTGAGACGAGGTGAAATGGGCTTTATCCAACAAAAATACCTGTGCCTTTTTTTGTCTTGTGCTTTAAGTAAGACTATGCATATATATCCAAAGGACAGTTGTATCTCTGTATAAACAAACGGGACCAATCACTTCTTGTTGTGTATCATCATGCTGCCAATCGACATAAATAGTCACCGATCAGTCAGCGCGGCCCACAGGCCGCTCAGCTGCCTGCTGACGGTGGCGCCGGCTTTGAGTGGCAGTGTTGTGTTTCAGTGCGGCGTTCTGTATCTATTAATGATCTGATAAGATGAGGAGGGAGAATAAACAACAACCGCTAAATACAATCAAATGAAGTCTATTAACGTCATTGTGCTCCGTTCCCTTGAGAAATCGCTGTGGATTCTCTCTCGTTTGTTGTTCCTGTGGCTCAGTTAGCCGGATTAACATTAACATTGCCACCGTCAAGATCTAATCCTTGGCTCTCACACTTCTGCTGCTTGTGACGATATGATATGTTCATTTTGTGTATTGTTTGAGATCGATGATTATATAGTTGTGAAAAAGTACGATGGATAAAAAAATAAAGCGATATTATCAGCGTAAAATGTTAACCATGCTATCCACTTATTATCTCCACCGATAGTGATGTTTCCAGCAGTGGTAAAAGAAATCTGAAAAGAGGGAATTTAGGCTTAACATTTTTGGTTTACCTATTTGTGTAGCAACAAATGAAAGAAGACTCGTTTGGTCTTGTTGATAATAGAAACTTGATAATCTGTGTTTAGAAGTCAGAAATCAGACGTGCTTTTCTTAAATATATATTTGAAGCAGGATTTTTTTTTCTGTGTCTTTAACTACTGCAAATGACTCTGGGCTGCAGTTTCCCATCTCTCACACACACACACACACACACACATTCTCAAGAGGTAGACTCAAGAAGTCCGTTAATTTGCGGAGGTTGGTTGAAAGCTTCTGCATACACGGCCGCCAAACATTGCATGGAAACATTTTAATAGGAAATAACAGTCTCGGGGATTTATCTCTGTGTGGACACAGAGGCGATGAGCGCGGCTGTCAGAGTGATGTCACAGGTGTGTTTGCTTTGTTGATTGGACGGCCACGCACGGACCCCTCGCGCTGTTTGAGTAAGCCAATAGTTTCTCTTATCGGGTGGTTGAATTAGAGCGACCGCAACGGGGACGGAAGCACATATTCGTCAGCACAAACGGAGGACGTGTGACCTTCAGAAGGGCAGAAAGAGTAACTGGGCAGCTGGCTTTGACTGCGGCACATCGATCGCAGACCCCTGCATTCTGCTGCTCAACAATCACACACACACACACTCACACATACTCGCCTCATTGACCAAACACACTCGCATATGACTGACGGGGCCAATTTCTCTCCCTTTTCACGACTTGCTAATTTATGGCCATTGATCTGCGCCGGGCTGAATTGATATACACTCATTGTGCTCCCTCTCCCTCATACACATACACACAAAGGTGTTTTGTGCGGTTTACAATGCCTCGCACCGACACGCTCCTGGTGTCTTGCACCCAAGTGGCCAGAAGAAATTACAAGAACCTGCCGAGGAAGTCGGTGTTAAGTGGAGGCTAAGCTAAAGGTTTTTTTGTGTCTGGTGCAACTTTCACTGCCTGATCATGTTGCCATGTAACAACATTCATTCATTTAACTTTGAAGTATGTGTGTGTGTGTGTGTGTGTGTGTGTGTGTGGCACGAGTCAGGGTCAACTGCGTCAGAGTCACACCTGTGGAGCTAAAGGGGCTTCAGGAGCTTGCTCGGGCACTCTGAACAGCACTCAGATGATCACCGTTTGTTTTCCTGTCCATTCCGTCCATCCAGGTGTGTCTCCGTGCTCGGCGGACAGCCAGGTGGTCGGCGAGAGCGAGCGGAGCCGAGAGCAGATTCTCCAGACCCTGAGTGACCTGTCGAGGGGGTTCCAGGATATTGCAGACCGGTGTCTCCTGGTATTGCACCTGGAGGTCAGGTATGCAAAGGGGTGAGGGGGGGGGAACTGTTGTTACTGTTGGACTATAAATCTTTAAGAGAGCTTAATTTTATTTGGTAAAACACTGAATTCTAAATGGAAGTCTACCTATTTCGAATTATGCGAATATTGCTAATAAATCAATTTTCTTATTTAAGCGTGCTTTAAACCACTTAGTTTTTGCACGTTATAATCTCTACATGCTGCTCAGCAGGTTGATTAGGTTCCATTTTTCTAAATGAACTCCATAAAGCCCACAGCGGCGTGATGTACAAAAAAAAAAAACAAGTGCACCCAATGTTCACCACGCGAGCCGGGCCGAGTGGCGGCATCTTGAAGCACGCCACCGCGGGTTGATGAGTTCCAAGTGCCGATGTGCCGCTGGCTTCTTTTCAAGGTTGGATGCATGATAACTCAACAGAAAGGCAGCATATTAAATTACATTTGTGCCCCCGGCTAGCACACCTCGATCAGTATCTCTGTCTGCCATCGCACTGTACAAGCTTAGAGGAGATTTCGTTAAATGTTACCATGAAAGCAGAGGTTCAGGAGTTCGCTTTTTACTTTCTGCTCTTGAATATTTGTTTGTGTGAATGCCAATAACCAAGTTAATTTACCACACCATATACCCCCCCCCCCCCCTCCCAGCTCCATCACCCCTCTCCCCTTCGTTCCATCCCTCCATGTACCACCATTTCCCCGAAGACCATTGTTTAGCTGATGCAATATTGTTTATGATTTCAGCAGAAAACCCGAGGCTGATGTCTAGCTATATGCTACACTCCATTGACTCTCCCCATCTAGTGAATTTCCCCTGATAGTGGTACCAGTTAAATGAAGCCATGACCAAGAGACCAAGAGTGGAGGGAACAGGAGATGGGGGAGCGATGAGTGTGGAGGTTAAAGCGATGGTGGGGGTTAAAGAAGGGAGATACAGTAGCTAAGTGGAAGAAATGATTGAATAGGGGGGAGTGGGTGGGGGTGAGATGAAGGCTTTGGTGTAGTTGTTGGCTTTGCCTCAAGGCGGAATAGATATTCACCCATATCATTTTATACCTTTTTGCTCAGGGCGCTGCGATGATGGAATTATGAGAGCATTGACTCTCTAAAGTCTCGTCACAAATGAGCCTGCTCCGGACCTGAAGGAGCTCCGACTGTGATGGAGGTGTTTAAAAGGGCAGAAAGATGTAGCACCCCCATTAAAATGTGTGTTAAAATGAACTCCCTCTACCGTTGCGTTACTGTCTTCCAAATAATACATAAATAGAGATGGTATACTTGCATTGGTCACTAGATATATCATGTTTTGTTTTTATGTTGAGCCCCAGAATGTTAGAATTTTTTTTTTTTTTATCAATTTTTAAAAGTTATCTTTTTGGGTGTTATTTTTCTGCCTTTTTTATGTTAGATATTAACTTATTTACCAAGGTGACAAAGCCCTGGAACACATCTTTTATTCAACTTTCCCTGAAAAGAAATCTTGTTAAAATGAGCGACGAAACGTACGATAGGCTCTATTTCAGGTTGGAAGGATCAGCGTCTCTGACATACTCTCCATTATTAACAAATGCTTATAAAGGCACACAACAGGACTCGTGGTATGAAGAGGAATCCGACTTTCAAAGGTTGTTGTGTTTCAATTCAAGACGCCCTTTTTTTTATTTAGGCTTTGCATTTAATGCATGTGTAAGTATATTTGACCCCTCAAACTGTTGTTTAAATAATTTGGCACTGTGCTCTTGCCTTTAACTAGCAGAATTTTTTGGCTGAATAGTGATAAGTGAGTAAGTGGATACGTTCTGTGTACTCTAGACATAATTTATTCTAAATCATAGGTGTTGGAGTAGGTATATATAAATTGCTTCTAACTACTAGGAACTCTAAGAAAATTACCCCTCGTACATTCTCTCTTTCCCTGACTTTACCAGTGATATTTTCAAACACATCAGCAGTGAACTGTGAGGGAATTAACAGGTCACTTCTGGGGAATTAAAGGATACGTCTGACCTGAAATGTAAAGAGAACAAAGTCAAATATCTCATTTTCCACTTTCTCCTTCCCTAACCCTCCACTTCTTTCTCCTACCACGTCTCCCTCCAGGGTGCACTGCTTCCATTACCTGATCCCGCTGGCCAAGGAAGGCAATTATTCCATCGTGGCTAACGTGGAGAGCATGGACTACGACCCACTGGTAGTGAAACTGAACAAGGACATCTCAGCCATAGAGGAGGCCATGGGGGCCGCTCTGCAGCAGCACAAGTTCCAGTACATCTTTGAAGGTCAGCATGGGAGCGAGAGTGGGGTGTCGTTGCATGTGCCCTTCCCTCCTTTTGAGTCTTCTCAAGCTGACGACGGCCCGTGTTGTCTTTCTCCTCTCCTCTCTCACCAGGTCTGGGTCACCTGATCTCCTGTATTCTAATCAACGGGGCCCAGTACTTTAAGAGGATCAGCGAGTCCGGAATCAAGAAGATGTGCAGGAACATCTTTGTCCTCCAACAGAACCTCACCAACATCACCATGTCCCGGGAGGCTGACCTCGACTTTGCCAGGTGAGAGGGATTTTATTTATTTTTTTAACATATTTTGCACGGTTCCTCTCCACTGGCGGAGCGCTTGCAGGGACATTTTTTATGTCTGACAGAGTAAAATGATGAAGTGATTGCGCTTTGGACGTGGATGCAAACCTGCAAGGACGAGATTGCGACGATGAAAAAACGCTCAACCAGAAAGGCTCGACTTGTAGGTGCACTTAGTCCAAACCCACACTTCCTGCAGTGTGGCTTGGGAAAGGCTCGTAACCTTGTACCGGAGGAGCTGGCAGCTGCCAACACTTCATAAGTGCTCGCCTTTTTTCCTTTGCTTTTTGCCGTTGTCATGGCAATAAAGGCTCAGGACTTCCTCCTGAAACCCAAGATGGTTATAACATTATAAATAGTAAAATCAACACATATTAATGTGTTGCAATCTGTTCCACAGTCACTGATCATGAATTAACATTTCTTAATAAGATGCATCAAATATAGAAGCAAATCAACTCTAGTATGGATTCGGGAATAGATGATACACGCTGGCTGGTGAACAGATCAAATCTAGCTGTGTTTTCGGTGCGACCCTGTTACACACCTGCACAAACACACACGGACATGCACAATGTCCTTTAAGTTCAGATAGCAACTATATCAATGCACAAGGCTGGCAGATGGTCAGACAGATTGTCAAGCAAACTGTGTGTGTAGGTGTGTTTGTGCGTGCGTGCACGTTGGGGTTTATTTTGTATTTGTACATTTATATTTTGTGAGTCTACCTGCTGTTGCACAGTGATGTCCAGCCCTGACAGACAGGGATGGGGAAGGGGGGGGGGGGGGGCCGCCGCAATCAGCCCCCAAATGTCTTTGTGAAAAAAAAGGAGGGAGGGAGCGAGCAAAAGGGTGGAAAAAAAAAAAAAAACATACAGAGTCGGGTAATTCAAAAAATTCATGTGTTCTTTTCTTCGCTCTTTCAGAAGCTTGTGTCCTTGACAGAAGAGTATGTGTGAGAGGAAGGGTGATGGAAAAGATGGAGTAAGAGAGGAGGGCTTGGGGGGAGGAATTGAAAAACTAAGTGAAAGGGAGTTCTAGAGAAGATGTCTTTAATAGAAAAAGGCATCGGGGGGAGTTGCCGAGGACAGCCTGGATAGAAAGCGAGCATTGAGAGATGTAAGTGAGAGAGGCACAAATAGAAAGAAAGGCAAGTACAGGGGAAAGTTGAAATATGAAGAATATTTGATGAGAAGGACACATGAACACTTTTATTCCCCTGACTTTCACATGTAATGACTTTGTGCCATGCGCTAACTTTCCTAGCCTCGGTTTTCCCGCATCGTGTACTTGTTGCGGTGGGACGCGTCGGGCTGCTATGCGGTCGATTAGCTTCTTTTCACGGCCCCCCTCTGGGTGCTCGCTGTGTGTCTGAGCGGATAGGTGCGCTCTGTTTGGACGTCGCTATTGTTCCCGACGCGCCAGTTTCGCCAGCCAAGTCTCTGCCTCCAGGAAATGAACCAAAATGCCCCGAGCCGTGCTGGATGTGGAGGACCAGCGCTTAGCGTGTTACTCCTACCCTCTGTCAACTTTGATTATGGAGAAACGCCGGTGATGGCTTCTCTGTCTTTTCTCTCTTTCTCCCACTCTCTGATTACGAGGCGTGGGTGGTGTGGAGGTGTTGATTGGGAATTGCAGACCGCATTGTTTACACATTCATGGCTTTTTGGATTGGTCGGCCTCCGGCTACAAGACACACACACACACATGTGATATGTATCCCTTGCTCTCACCCATGCACACTCTCAGCCAAAGCCAATCAGCATATTGAAATCACCATATTTATGTTGAGGCCATGAATATTCATGAAGCACGCTTCGTAGCACACACCTGTGAGTGGAAGTGACCGTACAGCCTGTGTGGGAAAATATGATAGACATAAAATAATGCATTTGTTGCTTACCGAAAAATCATTTTTCAGAAGACGTACTCTGATAAACAATCCTTCGACGTCTCAAAAATCTAGACCTTGATTTTGAGATATTGAATGATAGACTCCGGCTCATAATTGAGTTATAAGTTATTGAATTAAGTTAATTACTGTAAAAGATTTTTCCCTTTTGAGATGCTGTGAAAAAAAAATTGGCCTACCGAAATAAGCAAGGGACTAAAAGTTGAATTCATTCATCAGTACTTTATTCCCCCCCCCACCTCCAGAGGGACCTGAGTGAGATGGAAGGGTTGACAGCGGGGAGGCCTGCTTTTGAGAGGGAGAGAGAGGCTGCAGATCTTCGCCCGTCTGTCCGTGTACTTTTAGGTTCCTGTGAGAGTGTTTTTGGCTGTTTTTGCTGCATCTGTGCGCTTGTATGGGAAAGAGAGAGATGAGAGGGAGAGAGAAGGGCAAGGGCACAGTAATAACCATTGATCTGAGTTAAAACTAAGGAGAAGCCCGGTAACCTGCACTGCAGAACTCATGAAGACACACACACACACACACACACACAGACACACCCTCACCCCTCTCTCTTTCTCTCTCCATCATCGAATGTGAAGAAGGATGGGGAAACAGTGCGCCCTTGTGGCTGCACATCGTTCTACAGCATCCCAATTGTTATTGTTGTCAGGGTGTTGAGACCCACACGTATGTGTGTGAGTTTGCGCGTCTGTACGGAAAGTCTTGTGTCTTTCTGTCAGGACGTTTGCCAGCGACATCAGCCCGTGGGTCAAGTTCACGCGGTCACAACCACGCACCTGAACGTCGGCGCGCAAGTGGACCCACACAGACCATCTGCTCAGAATACAGTTGAGTGGCTCTGCAGAACAGTGGCACCGCAATGTCACATCTGTGTGTGTGTGTGTGTGTGTCTGTGATGGCTGCGCCCTCGACCTTATCACTCCGCTGAGATCTGCTCATTGTCCACCTCTGCCGCCGCTTGCTAGTTCAATTACAGAGGCAGCGATGAGATAAAGGTGATGTTGTTGGTGAGCGTTTTTATGAAGAGGAGACCGCAATCGTTCCAAAGAAAGCCCCAAAAAGTAGCCTAAAAATAATGAGCTGTCACTGAGACTTGAAATGTGAAGCACATATTGTTTCCTCGGTTAACAAGAGACCTGGTTATTATTATTGTCACCAGGTAAGCTTAGGGAATGACTGGCTTAATGCCGTTAATGGAGTCTACATTGGATGCCTAAGCATAGGATCATTGGAAAATGTGTGTGTGTGTGTGTGTGTGTGTGTGTGTGTGTGTGGCGTACATCAAAAGCGTATGTAAATAAATGTTTGTCTGTGTAAATATATTCTCTCTCTGGTGTGGTAGCATTTAGGTTATTTTTCAGAACACGGTGAGATACAACAAACGACACACACACACACGCGCTGGAGCTCTGTGCTGCCCGCTGACCCGTGCAGCCAGGATGCCGGGCTGTCATAACATCCTTAGCTAGCTCCCGGGCCCTTTACCCCGTGGCTAAGCTGAACAGCGGTCTGACAGGCCCACTGCAGAGATGCTCCAGAGTTCAGACCGAGGCACCCACCTGTCGGCTACTGGAAAGTACCGCGGCGCGCCGGTGCCCGCGTGTGAAACGTACAAGAACGTTGTGTGCTACGTATTGTCCCGAAGCGTAGTGCCCGAGCCTCTGCGCGTCTCTCAGCTGCGGTTTGTGTGCGCGTGTCTGCTTGCGTGTGTGTCGAGGTGAGGGGCTGGTGTGTCTACAAAGAATGTGGCGATAAGTACAGCTGACGTCTGTGTCAGGAGGTAGTGAGTCAACCGATAAATCTGTTTGTATTTAGGCCCGACTTCAGTACACTGTCACTTCGCTCTGCTTCTGTCACCTTGTGTCTCGATCTCTTCATCCTCCCTCCTTCTTTTCTCTGCAACCGTCCACCATCCATGCTGTGAACAGTGTGTGTGTGTGTGTCTGCAGAAGCATGATGGGACTGGTCTTTGCTGATGAAGCTTAAGTCTCTGAGCAGACCTTTTTGCTCATTACCAGAAGAGAGACCAATGTGCTGCCTTGGAGAGGGCGAGAGAGAGAGAATGGAGGGAGAGATACTTTAGAGAGAGATTGAAAAGGGTGTGTAAAGACACTAAAGTGTTTTATTTGAAAACAGCATCAGACAACACAAGAAAATCGTTTTGTAAAGATCCCTCACATTATCATTTCAATTTCACACTTCAAGAGAGGGAGCCAATCGGAATCTGTTAAAGCAGCAGCGAGCTTCTCATCTCCTCCTTCCTCGCCTCATCTCGGCCCCACTAACTAACGTGTTGCTCCAAACACGCTGACGGAGGCAGCCTGTAACGGCCTCAACAGGGTCCACGCTGGAAATAAGGGGCCAACGAATTGTGCTGATTCCTGTCTTTCTCTCCTGCTTTGCATGCCCCATGTTCTTCATACATAGCGGTCCGTCCGATGCTACATCCACGCACCATAAATTGACTTAATATTCTCTTGTATGCAAGGAAAGAGGAGTGTCGGGGGGGTTGTCTAATTAAAGTTTAATCGAAAGTGCACCATGGAGGCACGTTGGCGCTCTCGCCTGCGGATTACCAAGCGGTGCCCTGAGAGATGGGACTTCAAGGCAAGAGGCAGGGATTCAGGTTCCATCAACTAGCGATTTCTTTAATGGAGAAAAGGAAAATAAGAAGTGTATGTTGTGTGTTTTCACCGGAGAGGTGGAGGGGGGTCCCTCTTGATGGAGGGGGTGCTGAGAGATTTTAATCTTATTAACAGCGCTTACCCTGAATGGCAAATGGCTTACCAACTGCTTGGGTAATGAACTGTTTGAAGGGGTTTTTCGGCACACGCTAACGTACATCACTCTGAGACACACACACACACACACCAGCACATCTTACACTTTCTCTTTCTGACACAACCCCCTTTGTGCTGAGCAGAGGCCAGATTGCCAGCTGTCGTCTTGACTCAGAGAGACACACACACACACACACACACACACGGGCGGATGCTGACAACCGGCAGACAGTCTTGTAGCTGCAGCGTCCTGTTTTATTCTCGGATGCATAGTGGATTTCCTCAGTGAATGAGCACCAGTAGCTGTTAACAAATCCTGCGTGTTTTCACTACCAGGTGAGTTATAGCTGCTATTATGCTGGAGTTCTGCCCTGCTTTATAGCTCTTAATGTCACCCGGTAGCTACTGATGCATCAACAGACAGATTCCAGAACTTTCTATTTATTTTTTTACTATTCTATCAGACAAATGGTGTCACAATCCTAGTACGGAGAGTATTCAATCAGCATTTTTTGTACTTTTCTCTTCTAAAAATCAATGTTTTTTTGTTTTTTTTCAGATACCGGAAATGAAGTCAGTGGTTAACGAAACACAATATTCTAAAATACCAACTGCTTCTGTTAACTGCCCCTGCCGTTTACGTGCCTTCAAAAAGGCGGTAGCTCACAAGTGGCCTTTTGTCAGCTTTCACAGCCGCGCCGTGATGTCTCGCTCACGTGATTGAGGCCTAGAAAGCTTTTTACCTCTGCCAAGTATTCCCGCTTCAAAGACTCATGAAAGTGGTGCTTATTTGTGAAGATGATTTTTGCTGTCGTTGGGAAAACGTTCAACCTGAGTTTGCCTAAGCGCTCACGGTGATGATTTGAGTTCTTCGGCAGGTTGTTGTTCATTTCCCACTGTGTGCATAACTTAGCAGTCCACCAGAAGGGTTTCCTTAATTGAAACGACGAGCTGCTTCCACAAGTCAGTGAGTCAGCCAATGCAACTCTTGAGATCATTTGTACTGGGATCAGTCCCTTTTTGGGGGTGTGGGGGGGGGGAGGTTTAAGATGCGCATCCATCATTGATTGACCAGGATGGATATTTGACTGCGTGCCTTCTGTCCAAAAGCAATTCCTTCAGAAGAAGAAATATTTGTATTTGTCTCGGTTGTATGTGTTTTCCCCATTGGGTGAAAAGAAATACGATAGTCCTCGAGCAACCGCCGGGTTTTTAGAGAAATGCTTACGCTTTTGATCTGGTGTTTTCCTCAGAGAGGTGAACGCTCCAACACTCGTAACGCATGCGCTGCATACACAACCAGGGACGAAGCGGAGGCACTCAGACATTTACACAAACCCTCAGCGCAAATCCTAATGAGATAAAACCACACGTGGGATCCGTCCTCATCCCGCTCTTTTTCCTTTCGTCTGTCTTGGCCTGCCCTCCCCAGCCCCCCCGGGTAAAGAGAAAACCATTGTGACCCTCATCAATATTGACAAGCGTATTCATGAAATGAGCTCAAGGATGGAAGGAAAAATAGGAGACCTTGGCGATAAAATTGAGAGCCGGCCGGCGAGTGAGACAGAATGCAAATGCTTTGATGACCAAGGGTATTTCTTGTCAGCGGAAGGCCAAAAAAACAGATATTATGCACCTGTAGTCCTCACACATCTCTTCAGTCATCGCTCTTTTCTCCCCTCTTTGTATCCCTCCCTCTCCATTTCAATCAATGTGTCCCCTCCGTTACTTTTCCCTAGTCTTTGCTGCTGTGAATCTCTTAAATGAGTGCATAAAACGCCTTGGAACAGAAGCTCCCTGAGTGCTCATTAAGGCCGCGTTAAGCATCAAAAATGATCATCTCAAGAAAGGAATCGTTCTCAGGTGGGTGATGCACTAAACAAATGAGATGGAGAATGTTTTTCTAGCCAAAGTGCCCCCCCCCCTTTTTTCTTTTACTGCGCTTTTTTCTGGAAATGACTAAAGGACACGATGGCCTTACTTTCATCTCCCACCGGCGCAACAGAGAGCTTAAACCCGCCTACTCCATTTGCTCTGCTGGACATTATGACACATCACACAGTTAATGCCAATAGAGGAAACTCCTTTTGCCCGGAAACTGCCGCTATATTCACTGACGCACAGCGGCGCGGGCTGATTGAAATACGTATGCTCCTGTTGCCACGCGGGGAGCCGTGTTTCCATGTCTACGCTGGTGGAGCAGCAGGAGCAGCAGCATCGGTCCGCCGGATGCATTCAGGCACAGTTGTGCCAACGCGCAATTATTGTAGTTATCTGAATAAATACAAATGGAAAGATAATATATTTGAACTAATATAGATTCCAGGTCAGTTTTAAACTCTGTAAATCACAATATTAATCACACACCAAATGTAGAAGTGGACAAAACGTCGCGGCGGCATTTTACACATTTTAAGCCGGCCTTTAAATACTTTTTTTCATAAAAACCATACAGCAAAGGGCGCCTTTTTTTTTTTTACAAATCCCATTTTCTTTTTTTGCTGCAGCCTGTTTTTGGTTTGTAGCCATTTCCATAAAATATGTGCATCAATTAACTGAATTGGCACACAAAAACAAATTTTGTATTGACAAAAACAAATTACCTAACCCAAGCAAACTCCATCAGTCACCCTATTGATTTTTGTATCGCACAGAATAGCCGCTTAGCACCAGATGAACTACAAATGGACGCTCAGCGCACAAACTACTCCCCCCCCCCTGCCCCCTCGTTTTAGACATTAGACATACTTGTCATAGCACCTCACCTGTTGTCCTCTTGCTTTTATTGTTTCTATGACTTATTCACAGATGGCTTTCTTTAAGCGTGTCTTCAGAGTATGGGATTTGTCCTCAGCCGGGGGCAGATGGTGGTGACATCCATTCTAGTGTGCGCCCCGTTGTGTTGGTCCTGCGAGCGCTTAAGGCATATTTGCGAGTCCGACTCAATCCCTCACACACACCCACACACACACACACACACACACACACAATCACAAGTTATTTGACCTGTTTTGCCCCCGAGCAAAGAACCCTCTTCACCCTGCATCCCAACACTCGCCTGAGCATCACCTTGCCTCCAGTTTCTTGCCATGGTTGTGTAAATTGTTTTTTAATCGTGTCCATATTTATGACTAAATAGTGTGTACTGTCCCTATCAAATGATTCTAATGAGCATTTCATCCGATGCCCACAGACACTGGAGGGCTGCCTCTAGGAATCAGGAATCAGGAATCAGGAAACATTTATTAGCCAAAATATGTCAAACATACAAGGAATTTGTCTTGGCGGTTAGTGCGCGACAGTAGACAGACAAGACAACAGTGCACAGGTAATAAAATAAAGTGGAATGAAATGCTAATGCAATGGGTTAGTAAGAATAAGGCTAAGGCTATGGGTTAGTATAAAACAGGGGAATAAAGTTAAACAAATTTTAAATATTAAAAAGTTGAAAAATATTAAGCATAGAGTGCACTAACAAACAAGTAACAGACAAGAGACAAAGTGACAAGTGACAAAGTGATGAATTGCAGTTAAAGTGACATGTGCAGTATGAGGGGGAGTGACCGGTGGAGTGTTATAGTCAGGCAGTGGGGGACCGGGCTCTGTTGATGAGCCCGACTGCCGACGGGAAGAAACTGTTCGTGTGGCGGGAGGTCGTAGTCCTGATGGACCTCAGCCTCCTGCCAGATGGAAGGGGCACAAACAGTTTATGTCCGGGGTCGGGAGGGGTTGGCCGCGATCTTTTTAGCTCGCTTCAGAGACCTGGAAGCGAACAAGTCCTCCAGGGACGGCAGATTGCAGCCGATCAGCCTCTCTGCAGAGCGGATGACACGCTGCAGCCTGCCCTTGTCCTTGGCTGTGGCTGCAGCGTACCAGACGGTGATGGAGGAGCAGAGGATGGTCTCGATGATGGCCGTGTAGAAGTGGACCATCATCGTCTTTGGCAGGTTGAGTTTCTTCAGCTGCCTCAGGAAGAACAACCTCTGCTGAGCCTTCTTGGAGATGGAGCTGATGTTCAGCTCCCACTTGAGGTCCTGGGTGATAGATATTCCAAAACAACAACATACTGACTCACTTCTGTCTGTCAAATGTGAGCTTTTATATCGGATCTTACAGTCAGCAGTTGGAATTGTGTGGCATTCACCGACACTTACTCTCCCTTGGTGCTTTCGTTATCTGTATGTACTTCACGGTCCTTTTTCTAATGACCATTGTTATGAAAATTGACGGCAACAGCAGTTCGGATTTTGTGTTTCCCCTTTGTTGATGTTGCTCCTTCTTATTCCGAACCGCGATAGAAAAGTGCTGTTACCTTTTTCTTTTCTTCTTCTGTCACTTCCCTTTCTATTCTTTTCCCTGTACTTTTATTTTCTTTGCCCATAACCTCCTGTGTCACGTGTCTCCCTGCAGGCAGTACTATGAGATGCTGTACAACACTGCGGATGAGCTGCTGAATCTGGTGGTGGACCAGGGGGTTCGCTACACAGAGCTGGAGTACATCAATGCTCTGTCCTTGCTCCATCGCAGCCAGACCGGTGTCGGGGACCTGAGCACCCAAAACATCCGGCTGCAGAGGCTGAAGGAGATCATCTGCGAGCAGGCCGCCATCAAACAGGCCACCAAGGACAAGAAGATCACCACGGTGTAAACACCAGAAGGGGTTTGAGGGCCCGTCAAAAGTACCTCTGTCCTATAAAAAAGAAAAAAAGAAATCTGATTCACGTGACTTCAGTTCTGTATGGTGAGAACAGATGAGTCGGCCATGGATGCAAAAGTTATAGATGGTAGGGCAAAAACTTGCAGATTAGAATTGGGAAAAAGTGATGTAGAGGCTTGTTCGACACCCAGATCATAATGTGATCATATATATATATAAATACATGTGTATGCATAGCTACACCTGACTCCAGGGTCCCTCAGCGGATGCAGCAAAGGCCCACTCTAATTGGGAAGCCAGGTGACAACCAACACAACTGCAGACTTTGCGGTCTAGTTTGCCACGGATGTATCAATTGACAACATACCCCCACACACTCTGCCGCGACTCCAGATAAAAGGCGATTGTCTTGGACACTGTACCGAACGTAGGCCCCCATCTCATCTCATTTTCCTATTAGATCTAAACTGGTGCCCTCGTTTACACCCCCAGCTCTACTCCCCCGGCAGCCCCATGAGCCCACTGATTCTGTCTCCAATAACAGATGTCGGATTAGACCGTCTGAATGAGGCCACGTCGCCCGCCTGCTGCCAATTTCAGGTGGTCCCCAAAGATTCCCCCTCGCAGAGAATAGTATCATAACCATTGCTGTTAAAAATCTGTGTAGCTGTCTTTTTTCTTACAGTTGGAGCCGTAAACGAGTGTGGAACATTGTGAGCTGATTAACATCGGGTACAAATTGAACAACAGGGACTCTGTAATAAAAGATATTTTTGCGGGAATACAATTGAATCCTTCCATAAAACAGATAAGGTTTATTTCAAATGTTATATTTCACATCCAGCACACCACAGTCGCGTGGCTCGCACTTTCTGTGTAACGGCACGTGTACGAATACCCTTTATCTGTCCAACTAGTTCTACAAACTAAAACATTGCGATTCTGAATCTTTATTTTGTCGTCCCATCCCAAATCATTCCCCTCCCTGTTTCCACTTGATTAACTTGGGGGAGAAGTACTTAACGGAGAGCCAGAGAAAGGAAAGGGAGCGTTGTCGATACTGCGGGCCTGGTAGTGGTCTTCCGAAGCCCGCAAAGCAATCCATCATAATGACACGTGGGCTGAAATCAATGGGAAAACAACCGTGTAGCTGCTGAGGCGTTCGTCCACCACTCTGAAAACGGGCCTTCTCTGTAAAATCTCATATCCGCTCATTCAGCTGTTCAGAGCGTCTCTGAAAATGTTATAAATGGAAAACTTCAATACAATGTTAAAGGTTGTGTCTTTTCGCAAAGAGATTCTATTATAATATCATCCCACTGCACACAGACGGCCCCTAAAAGTCCTGGGGGGCGTACGTACGACCCCGTTCTATTATTCACGGATGAAATATGTAAAATGTAATCAAGATTCATTTTTTAAATATTTGGCAAAACTGCTCATACACATTTCTATGTCATGTTTCTTTTTATTTTCAAAGGATCTTTATTTTGCACATTTGCAGTAAACTGTGTTTCAAAGAAGAATGTATTTAAATCTGTGTTTTTCTTGAACAAGTTGAAACATCCTCATGGCTGCTCTAGCTGTTGAGTGTCATCTTTGAAATGCTCTGAAATGTTTGCCTAGTCACACACACGATTTGTTAACGCATACACTAATCCACTAAGAAAATAAAGCCTTCAAAGTCCCTCATGTCTTGTGTATTTTGTACAGCGCTCCTCTTTGTGTGGCTGCTTTAGTCATATTTTCCTTTGTGAGATGTGCAGCTGACGTGAGTTTGTGCTCACACTGACACCGTCTGTGCACATGAAGCGTAGTCCATCACTGTTTTGATACACCCGAGATGTCATATGAGCAGCGACGAATCCAAAACCAACATTTCGAGGATGTATTTTACCTGACAGCTGTGATGTGTTGTCTGGCATGATTTGAAGCATGAAGTGCAGCCAAGTAAGAAATAAATAAACGCAGACAACATTAACTACCCAAAGGCTCGTATTGTTGTTATAAATCTGTGGGCTATCTGCTGTTATAGTGGGACATTTCAAATGCGTGACTTATAAGCCCTAATGGCACAAAAGTCTTTCTGATGGCGAAATCCAAATTCAACAAGACTGAACATTGGAAGACTAAACTAAGACAAAAAAATCAACATTTTCTATAAACTCACAATTAGTCAAAGCAGTTGAGGTTTTTATGTTTATTCTGTTCAATGTTGGACATTGAAACCTTGTCGCGGCGAGCACAGGAACTACAAGGCCCACAATCCCTTTCACCGCTCACCAGTCTCGCCGTTGCCCTGGCGACCGCGCCGTACACTTCACCCGGAAAGCTAACCTGTCAGGTCGCTATGGGATTTTTCCCGTTTGTTTTCTTAATTTATTGCTAAGCCTTTGCCGAGTGTTTTAGTTTATTTAACACGGAACCATGAAGGAAGCCACGAAAGAGGAGTTTCCGTCGGCGTCACCTGGCTGCCGCCCCCCAGGGTGCCCCCGTGACGCTCCTCGCGGGGGAGACGACGCCGAGATGGAGGTGAGGCGTTTTCCTTTTGCTTAAGAATAAACCTCAACATTTGCCTTCATTTGTTCGTTTTCTCAGCGTCATCGGTGTCTTTTTAGTCAAATTAGAATCGGTGTTTAAGTGAAAGCTAACGTGGATATCTTTAAAAAAAATGTTTTTATCTTGGAGCACTTACTACAAAACTCCATAATTGTTCCCTTATGCAACAGATAAAGCAGATAACCTTGCACGAGCGATCCCAGGAGGCCAAACAGCACAGCAAGGTCAAATACTTTATTTTTTATATGCAATTTGTGATAGAGCATATCCTTCTTTTGAGTGTGTATGTGTGTGTGTGTGTGTGTGTGTGTGTGTGTGTGTGTGTGTAGGGGATTCTTATAGTGGCCTTGTGCATTATCTTCACATACTTATTTCTGAACAATTCAACATCTTTTTACGTTTACAGAAGAATGGCGTTTTAACTGCGGACATGGTCTGCAGGCACGTGTCCAGCCAGGGGCGAGTTGGCACCGGGCTGCAGTATTTGTACCACCACCTGTGTTTGCCTGTAAGACAGACAGCATGCCATTGGGCTGTTTGGTTGATTGATTTGTGTAATTTATGACCAAGCAATCTGTGAATAATCCATTTAAAATGTTATTTATGTCATACTGTTCTCTTTGTAGTGTAACTGTGAGGCATATTTATTATTTGGGTATTTTTCTCTACTTTAGAGTCAGGATCTCAGGGACATCTCTGTTTTATGCAATTATGTCCATCTTCAAAAGCTGCAACTGCCACACAACAAAATCAAAGGTGACTTTTCTCTATTTCATTAATAGTCCCCTTTAAAGAGCTGGTATTTTTAAAAGCCTGTCACTACTTTGAAAATGATGTAATCAAATCAGGATTTGAAGATTATACTTTCCTGTTTCCATCTTCATCCTATTTGATCCGTTACTCTTAACTTTTCTCATCTGCCAGATTTATCCTGTGTGAGCCACATGCCCCAACTCGCCATCCTGGACGCTTCTCACAACGAAATCTCCAGCTTCTTTGGATTCCAGCCCCCCAAGAACCTAAAAGTACCGCAAGACCTTGAGCTGACAGGATAAGACCACGTTTGATTGGTGGCTCGGGCTTCACTCTCTCGTGCTATTCCCCCATGATAGCCCTGGATTTCCATAGCCCATCTGTAGTCTCTTTGAATATTCTTGCAAGGCATTTACTGCCCTTGAACGACAGTGAACTTTAGCGATTTGAAAATGCCTCCCCGGGACTCGGTTGAGGAATTTCTTTAGCGAGAGGCATTTCATGACTTTTGTTAACACTGTGCTGCTTTTTTTCTTCTTCCAGGAAGTCAATTTCTCCCACAACCATATAACAAAAATGAAGGACTTGTCAGCCTTTTCCTCTCTTAGTAATTTGGATCTGGGCCGTATCCTTACTGAGAGACATTTACATTAATCCATGAGTACTTGAACTTGCCTCTTTCTCCTTCGTACACACACAACCTTTTCAAAACTCCCATGGAGTTTCCTTTATATATGGTAATATCCATGAAACTGACCTACTAACTGCCTAACACACATTTTGCTCTGTGTGTCTTTCTTAACCTGCTCGTACTCAGACAACCGTTTCAGTGCGATCGGGGGGCTTGAGCAATGTTGCAAGCTCACCAATCTCAACCTGGAACACAACAAGATCTCGAGGATCAGCGGCCTGGACAGTCTGCCTCTCACACACCTCTGCCTTGTAGGTCCAGCTCTATTTCACTCAGGAATATGACGCGCACATGGGCACACAAAAAAACAGCAATCTCATTTGTGTTTTTTTGTCCGGGCTTGGCAGTACTTCCACTTACATGTGTGGCTTTCCTTCGCAGGACCATGTCCCCCCATGTGTTGTCTATTTCTTATTGAACACACAGCAGGAGTTGTTTCAGAGGAGTTCTCTTTTATTGCAAGTATTTTACCTCACGAAGGCTTTAATTTGACCTGCCTCTATTCTTTTCCCTCGGTCTTTCTCTTCATGTTTGTGTTTTTGACTTCATTTTTACTTAAAACTTAAAACCTTGCCACCCCTGTTCGAGAATCACCATATGGTCCAACAGCAGGCCCTTTCTCTCCTTTCTGCATGTGTGTGTTTGTGTGTTCTGACCTTTATCAGTGTTTCCTGGTTGTCAGCAGCCATCGGTCCGGCTGTGTCTGTAGCTCTGCTTCAGAAACCAGCTGCTGATGTTTGAGAACCAAGTCCTCCGGTACGTCATCCGTCCAGCGTCCATCTAAACCCCATCCCCGTCTGCGCTGGCGCCCCCCCAAAGCAGCTCGACCCTGTCATCCGGCCCGTATTCCCCAGCCCGTCACGGCACCGACCTGGGAGCTTCAAGTCATGCGTGCAGCAGGCTACATGCTTGGCAAGAGTAGGATGGGGGGGGGGGGGGGGGCGCTCGCCCCAAAGGCTGGATAACAACGTTTTCTCGTGGAATGGAGAGGGATTGCAGGGTTGGGAACCCTGAGAAGGAAGGAGGCCCTTTAGGTCGGGTTCTTTAGTTGGTTAGCAGCGTGCCGCGCCCCCCCCACCCCTCGCCAGCTGTTTGGCTGTCAGTCCTCACCTGTCAGAATTTAGCAGAGAGAGGCAGACCTGCCACTCAACTCGGTACTGAGGTGAGAGGGGGCTCAGGCACCCTGCGGAGTGACCACGGAGCGTCCTTAATATTTAGTAGTGGGAATCGTTAACCGCGTATAAAGTAGAGTTTTATGTTACTTATGTATGCCGGCATCATCGTTAATGTCATGCATCTCTCTTTTTCTCCCGTCTTTGTCCAGAGGGGAAACCAGCTGGAGAGGATTGAAGGGTTGGATAAGCTGAAGTCTCTGCAGGTTCTCGACCTGTCTCTGAACCGCATCATCGCTCTCTCTGGCCTCCAGAGTCTCCACCTACTGGGCTCTATCAATGTGGAGAAAAACCTGGTATTAATCTAAGAGCTTAATCTAAGGCTTAACAGACGTCAGGCAGCCTAAATCCTAAATGCGATTTTAGTCAATGGGATTACATTTCAGAAATTGATGTGGATTTATTACACTGGTGAACCGTACTGTACCAACACACATAAAAGTCAAACTAGAAGGTTAATAGTTAATAGATGAGTACAGACAAAATAAAAAGCAAAAAGACTCAAATGCATGTACCTTCTAAACGACAGCACAATACGTAGACAAGGTCGAGAGTGAACTTTCAAACTCAGCAAGTCAACGACTTCAACTGCCCGCTAAGTTTGTGGTTATGTTTCAGATCAGTGAAATTCAGGAGTGCAAACACATTCATGATCTCTTCCTGTTGAGGGACCTCAACCTGCTGGGAAACCCTGTGCAGGTAAACCCCCCACCCTCCATTGACCAGAGTTCTGTACCCAGCCTGTCAGCAGCCCCCCGGCAGTCGATCCATCCCATCTGTAAATGAGCTTTTAAAGTTGATGGAATACTGTTTTTTGGAATAAGTACCATGTGAATGTATTTGGTAGGAGCAACCCGATTACAGATCGGCAGGCGTCTTCCTCCTCCAACATCTGACGACGCTGGACAAAGAGAAGGTCACTGCTGAAGAAAAGGTATAAACAAACAGAATCCTTCATCATTCCACGATGGAATGAGGAATTGTTCAGTTTTACAAGCACATAGACAATATTTCTATCTTTAATCAGGGATCTGATTTGTAAGCTAGGATGAACGTAATTACTGACATTAAATTCCAGGTGTCGGCAGTAAACAAGTATGATCCTCCTCTGGATGTGGTGGCAGCCAGGGATCACATGACCCACCTGGTGTATCATCTGATGCAGCCTCAGGAGCTCTATGACAGGTTAGTACAAATCGTTTTTTCTTAATGAAAACAAAACAAGGAAAAGGAATGTCTCGTTAGAGATGAATGTGACAGTTTACGTTCCAATTGTAACCGTCATAATCACCTTCTAAAGTCAACTACCAACACAGCTGTGCAGCGGTGCAGCTGCAGGGTTTCTGATGCTCGTATTGTCCACTCCCTAAAAGAAAGAAATGAGTCCAAGCATCAGCGCTTTTCCAAGTACACCCATCGTCAGCGAATAAATTGCTGGAGCTACAGTGAATTCGCCGTTCTCCCGCGCACATCCACGTCGCCCACGCGGCTCTCGTTTGTGACGAGTGGCCGAGTGGCTTTAACGGAAGAAGCTTGTGCTCAAATGGTTTTAATACACGTGACTCCCGCTCAGCTTAGAGACAACGTCCCGGTGAAGTGATTCAGAAACCGGTGTCCTGTGTCTACATGTGTGTGTGTGTGTCTCTCTCCAAACAGTACCATGCCCAGTGCTGACACACCATATCCCATGCTGGTTTTGACCGGTCCTCAAGGCTGTGGGAAGAGAAATCTGGCTCACAGACTGTGTGAGGAGTTGAGCGAATACTTCGCCTACGGGTCGGTCCCAAACCTTTTGTGCACACATCACCTGTCACATACTTAATAGTACTGGCGCTCGTACTAAAATACATTCCGTGTATACAACTGAAAATATACATTATGTGAAATGTTGAAATAATGTATCTGCTCAAGGTGTTATTTGAAAAAGCCGAAGAAAATTCCTTAATGCGGACGTTAAAGCTTAAAAAAGAAATTAGCTCCCACACTGTTGTAGCATTAGTGGACATGTAAAACAATTACTTGTGTCAGTTTCATCTGAAGAATCTATCACGTACTCCGGTGGTCAAACAGCTGCTAATAATATTAACCATACCCGGTGAACCAAAGCCATGAGCTGAAAGCTGCAAAGATGTGCAATTTGCACTGACCACCCTTCGATTGTTGATCAGAATAAAGGTGATCTTTCTAAACCTATCTGCTACCAAAACGTACCAGAAGATAGCTCAGCTATTCTGAAGTCTGTCTCTACACACTACTCGCACCCTGTGTCCATTATGAGACACATTAATTGTTATTATCAGTCAACCTGTTTGTGTGAGAAATGGGGGACGGAATGAAAGCCCTTGTTCCTCAGACGAAGCTTCAGCAGCTTCGCACAAAACGAGGCCTGCAGATTTGATTCCCGCATTTCGCACTGAACAGTCTCGGCACGAGGACATCTGTGGAGAGGAGGCGGAGACCGTGATAACCAACAACTCTTTCAAACATACGTGAAAAAAATACGGAGCCAAATGTCTTTTGTGTCCTTCAAGTCAAGCAAACATCTTGAGAGTTCGGTGTCCGACGTGCGACCCAAACGTCCGTCGCCTGTGTGTTTCCACAGAACCTGTCACACCACTCGGGGGCCGTGCTCGGGAGAGGAGGATGGAATTGATTACCATTTTGTCAGTGAGGACAATTTTCAGAACATGATTCACATGGTGAGTTATGGGTGTCATTACGCTCTTTTTTTTTTTTCTCGGTCCACCAGAGGTGACAAAAGAAAGGTTTCATTGTTACTTTGAGCAATCATCATATAATCATCTTCAGTCTGCGTCGTGAATCATGTAAACAGATGCTCACCACAAGCTAATTAAATGTGCTCTATTGAAATTTTCTGCTGGAGTCACATAAGTCTCCGAGCAAGGTTCACATTGCCTTCTCAATAAGTTGAGCTAATTAGTTTTACTTGGATAGATGGATTTTAGTGATATTTAAAGTAACGCAGATACGTTTCATTTTAATTGAGCCTTATTTAATGAGGTTATGTATTAATAGCATTTTTCTAAACGATGACACGGCATCTCCCCTCAACACGTCCTCGCCAGTGTTGATTATTAATCTGAGATAACTGACAAGGACAGCGAGAGTTTATGGATTTTAATATCATCATCACGCAGACCGTGGTCAAAATTCCATAATACACCTCTTTTCATCGAGGGTCAGCAAAGTCCAGGGCCCTATTTTGTATTCATGATCAATCTCTATTTGTGTTAATCAACCCGAAATTGAATCTGATTCATTACACAATCTTTTCGTCTCGCTTGCCGAGGGATCCGACACATTTGTTTCCCATCTTGTCCATCTTGTCAAGCTGCCTGTTATGTAAGAGCTGTGGGGGATGATAAATGGAGGCCCGGGTCACGTAATGATTCACACAGCCGTGGCTTTCATGCTGGAATTGATTCCTTTTGTGTACTCCAGGAGAAGTGGAATCGGCTTAACTTTACAGTCCGTCACTCCCCCCCCCCCCCCCCCTGTCTGATTTGACCATCTCTTTCACCCTCTTTCTAGATTTTCTCAATGTCAGCTCGGTGCTTTATTGCCGCCCCGTCCTCCCTTTCTTATCACGCTCCCAGCTTTCTTCTGTCAGCTGTCCTTCTCTTCTCCCCTGATTTATTTACCCTCGCGTGCGCTTTCAGTAACCATGCAATCATAACCTCTTGAACCCACTTCTCGCGGATGTTCAAAATGAACCCTAATCAGCAGTCCTTGGCACTTATTACGGGCCTCACAGTGATGTAAACACAAGGAACACCAGCTGGGCAATTTTGTCTGAATAGCGTCCGACCGGTAAGATGGAATCACAAGAATAACGTTGGTAATCGAGTGTTTGAGTGCTTTTCAATTACCTGCGTAACTAGGTCCAGGGACACAAACAAGTGCTTGAGTGAGCTTTAATTCCTGTTCAGCTTGGTACCTACTGGGATACACACAGTGTTTCTTGTAAAATGTATCAGTCGAATGTAACTGAATTCAAATGTAGTCGGCCACAGTTAATGAGTTTTCACCTCATTACTATGATGCAATAGTGTCCGTCACACCGTCAGCAGGCAGCGAGTCAGCAGACATTTTTTATTTGGGGGGAACAAAATGAAGTCACATGTGGAAATTGAATCTACAGACCAGTTCCAACGTTGATTCTGTGGAAGAGAGGGACGACAGGACTTGCTTGCATGTCAACCACTACTTGGAGCTGATTGCTACGGTAACCATCACGAATGAAATGACCTGTCATCCTTTCCCTTCGTCTCTGAAACCTCGTAGGGTAAATTCATCCAGACCACGCAGAACGGGGGTCGCAGCTACGGTCTGAGCAGAGACGCCGTAGAGGAAGTAGCCAAAGAAGGACTGGCCTGCTGTGTGCACATGGAGCTGGAGGTGCGTATGTAATCTGAGAGTGCATCAAGCAGTTGCTCGATATAGACAGTCGAGTGACAGACACTAAACTGGAAACCTTTTTTCTGCAGATATTACTTTTTAAGCTCCAAAAAAGGCCAAAATGGAGCGCGTGACAAAATGCCTTTTAAGGAAATTTTGAATCGACGCAACCATACAGTCATAAAGGAGTACATACAATGTCACAATGTCACACGCACACACTGTGCCCCAAACGTATGAGAATACGTCTGGAGAATATCAATCACACTCATTGTAACACCACCGCACAACTGTTTGTCCATCCTCCCAGGGCGTGCTCAGTCTGAAGAACAGCCACTTCGAGCCTCGATACATCCTGCTCATCCCCACCCAGGTGGAGAAGTATTTGGACAACCTGAAAAGCCGCGGCCTCGATACCACGACGCAGATCGAACTGGCGATGTCCCGCGTGGAGCTCTATGCCAGTACACATAGGCAGAGACTGGGATTCTTCGATAACGTCATCCCCTGTGGTACGGCAAAGAAACCCCTTTTATTTCTATTTTCTTGTGTTGTTTTATGCTACCGGTTGATTTAAGTGTACATTGCAGATGATAAGAATGGTTAGAGTGTATAATCACGTGTTATTATACGTGTTGACAGTTCATTTACAACATCCTATGTCCTACGTTTGGATATGATCCCTCTGTTCACGTGGCAGAGCTAAGAAGAAGTTGCCTGCTGCTCAGAGTCAAAGTGTCATCGGTGGAGCCTCGGATAAATGAACTCACTTCACTAAAATCCATGCGCCACACTTTCAATCCAATTACCACATGTATTAAGGGCATGGAGTCGCGCAATAGCTGTATTTATCATTCCCTCATGAAGGCACTTAGACTTGTTGGCTGTTTTCTTAATGAGATGAACATACAGGGAGCGCAGAGCCTCATCACTTTTATGCACTGCTAGCCTCCGCCTCATTGCGCCAAGGTCATCTTCCCCCGTATCTTTGATTCATTAGTGTTTGATGGGGGATGCAGTGGCTCTGTTCACGACCATATTGTTTGTGTCACGCCTTGTGTGTGTGTGTGCCCATGGGATGTGTGGGTAGATGACTGGGAGGAAGCCTATCAGACGCTGAAGCAAATAGTGAAGGAGTACCTGTTGGTCGAGGAGAAGGAAGAAGGAGAAAGCCAGCACAGCGCGTCGCCTGACGACCCCTCAACTGGTGTGCATTTGTTCCTTTGTTTGTTCAGATCATCATTTGCAGACTCAGGGGATCATTTTTAGTTGCAAAAGAAAGTGCAGTCTAGGGAGGCCTTGCACATTTTTTTTGTTGAATATCAAATTAAATTTTGACAGGAAGCATTACTGAGCCTGTGAAAACAGGTGATACGTGTGTATAATATCCTCTGTGGCTCTGGAGCAGCTTTGTTGAGTGCGACAAAAAATGACTAGCATCCCCTCGAGGATCTAGGCTTGGAAATGTGACGGCTGTAGCTCCATCCAACCATGCGGTCTCTTCCCCTCTCAGGTCCCCAGCTGGAGGAGAAGCATCTGTCTCCAACCCCGTCGAGGTCAGGATCGAGGTCACTGACGCCACACTCCGCCAAAGCGCTTGACCCCTCGGACCTGTCTTACAGACACTACTTCAACAAGATCCAGTTCGAGCTCGGCCCCCAGAAGAGCGCCGCCGTGAGTTCCCTCCGAGTGAATGTGAAACAGACACGATTCTATCCCCTCCTCGAGTGACATCATCACTCCTGCCGCCCAGCACTGCCCTCCTCGCCTTTAATCACCTTCTATTTCTTCTCAACTCCTCCTCCTCATGTCTGTCTCTCTCCTCTTCAGGAGCTGGCTTCCATCGGGAGGCGTGAGCGGCTGGTGAGAGAGGCCATTGTGGGGAAGAGTCCCGGGATCTACAGCCAGCTCTTCAAAAGGTTCATCATGAGTGGCGCGCGGCGCACAGCACTCCAGTGCTTAATTTCAAGAACACACACTCAGCCGGGCCAAATGGGTTTGAGTGCACTTGTCCTACGTGCGCTTTGATGGGTTGTTTTGGGGTCATTGTTTGACCTTGAAGGTGAATTGGCCACCATCATGCGGGTCCGTGGTGTTTGTCACCACGGGCTTGTGTAGCGGCGCTCTCTTCTCTGTTGCCCTTAAAATGTACCTGTCACCACATATGACATCTGAATGAAGAGAGGTGAATGTAAAAATTGATTTTCCACATGCGTGTGGAGAATTATTGGATTTACTCATTATTTTTGTTCGCCACAGCTCTGCTCAAACGGCACCGTCACCCGTGCTGAATCCCGATCCCCATTTTAGTGAGGACAACAGGTAAGAGCACTCACACACACACACACACACTCAAATGCACAGAATACAAGTGCTCCCACGCTACTAAGTGATTTGTATGACATATGAGGATAACAGATGTAGATAAATACGTCAAAGTTGTGAATGATTTTCCCCCTTTGTGGTTTTTGAATTCATAATAATACCACTTTACATTTAAGATGAGATGAGAGAATCTACGGGAAGACTTGTGGTTTCATAAAAACCAGGTGAAGCAAAAAATGTATGAGCAGAGTGAAATATATTCACATTCATAAAGCTTATTCGACTGTGCCAAGCCATGTGGGAACATATCCAAACGCACATTCCCAGACACACACACACTGAATTCTGATTTTTCGAATCTGCCGGTAATTTTTTGACTTGTCAACGTTCACACTTAAACTCAATATACATGCAAACTGCAAAATGATGGCTTCAATCAGAAATCGACAATTTATTTATGGTTATAAAAAGCACCTGTGCAAAGACGCTTTGAGACTGAAGACACATGCAAAGATACAGTGCGGGTTCAGTCCGAACTCATTTGTTCCCCTTCAGTTTCAAGCTTTCAGGAGGGCAATTTTGAGAAACCTGTTGAAACCAAGTTGTTTCACCGCGGTGTGAGCGATGCTCGCCCCCAGTACGTGCCGTCTGCATTACTCAACCCTTCAGCATTTCCCTTCAAAAGCTTCTAGACATCTGTCTACTTGTTGGCAACGCATAAAAAAAATGGAATGTGTCTATACTTGTGCGCTTCTCTCTCACATATCGTAACAGAGGATATTTTTGTATCTCTTTGATTCTTCACGTTTAGTCTTGTGGGTGTTCTTGCATGTGTGCGTCCAGCGTCGGTTCGTTTATCAAGAATTACTCAGATGAATTTCTCCTTGCTGAGTTGTGGCATACTGTTGCTGATAAAGTAAATACATCCAGCTGCGGAGGTCCTGCTTGATGTTCTCAGCATGATGGTAAAACCTCCAACACATTTGCTTTTTGTCTTTTGCTCGCTGTTGTCACTAGTCTTTGAACAACTTAATAATTCGTTTAAGTTTACACATCAGACCTGTCGCTTCATTAACTCCCCCCCCCCCCCCCCCCCTATTCTCCCCATTTGTGTGTTTTGCCTTTTCCCCCAACCCCCCGGGGTAGGGACTTTCAAAGGGACCGACCTTTCCCCTCCTCCCACCAGCAGCTCCAACGAGTCCCGTGCCAGCTCGGCGCTGAATGTGCCCGGTTCTGCCGGGGGCTTTTCTGCCTCAGTGCAGCCACTAGACATGTCTGTCCTGGGACACACCTTGGAAACACTCAAAGGTTGTTATTGTTGTTGTTTTTTTGTCAAAGGGCATTTTTGTGTTGCCATAAATAGATTTCAAAGAGTGGAGAGATTCATGAGTGGCAATAGTCCAGGGAGGATGCTGCTGTGTTATCAACACTTTATATTCATCTTTGGTTATTCATTGTGTAGTTTATAAACAATATTTACTGTATGTTAATCGCCAAAACATTCAATCTGAGATAAATAAGCTTCAATTAAATCAATATGTTTTTCTATATCATCATATGTTATCATTTCATACCTCACGGCATCAGGCGAAACCCCCGAGGCCCCGCAGCCGGGCACGGACCTGCTAGCCGTGGCCGTGTCTCCATCCTCCGATAGACGTCCCGGATCCAACGTCAAGCCCATCCTGCCACCCATCCCGTCCGGGCGCAAGACCCCCGCCTCGCCCGGCCCCCAGTGGCCCCAGCCCAGTGCCGTCCACCCGGACGCAGCGGTCCGAGAGGGAGGAGACGTAGACAGGGAGGGAAAGCTTCACGTAGCTCAGTAGAGACTCAGCTCAGTCGGTAAAAGTATTGAAGGATATTACTTAAAATATGAGCATATTCGGTTAAACTGAAATGAAATGAAAAGTCTGTACCGGCAAAAGGTAAAAGTCAACCCAGAGTGTGATGTGATGAACACTTGTTAGAACTGTCAGCACTGGTCTCTTCCTGTGAAACGTTTCCGTCATCTTTTGCAAATGCTATATTATAAAAGATAAGTGTTGTTATTATTAACCATGCATATAGAATGAGATGTGATTATAATTTTAGGCAAAGCCGTGTTTTGTCGATTCACCGGCTCAATGGCCGGAAGGCAAAGTGTTGACATTTGTTATATAAAAAACAGCTCCCACACAGATTGCATTTCAGTCATGAGGAATACAGTGATGTGTTAACGACTGGTTATTTCTTCGTTTATTCACATTTAGTGTCTGGTCATCTTGAAAAAAATGAATGTCTACAAAGGACGTGATACATTTCATGTTTCATGAGTTCGGCGTTCATTTTCCTGACAGTGAAGTGGCATCGCTTGTCCTACTGTTCAGCGATGTCGTCGGGAAGGATTCGCCATCGACATCTAGAAGCTGATCTTTCGTATGCAGTGTGGAGCTCTTATCAATGCGCGATAAATACATCATTAATCTTTTCTGATGGGAATATTTATTCAACTGGAAATGCATTCATATGGAATGTGTTGACAGGTATTAAACAGTGAGCCATACCAAAAACTGTTTTTGTCAGATTGTGTGTGTGTGTGTGGTGTGTGTTGCACATACAGGCAAACTTGTGCACCTGCGTGTGTCTTTTAAATTTTGAACTGTTTTCATTTTTCATTCATTGTAATTTGAAATTGTCTGAAATGTCTGTCACAGATGTATGCATTGCTTATTCACATGGTGCCGCAGACGGTGTGCTTGTAGTGTGCATGTGAATTAGCACATATAGTGTGCATGTGTACGCAGGGATTCTGCACACACACACACACACACACACACACACACACACAAAACACACCTGGCCATCCATCAATGTCTGTCCTCCTCACAGGCAGCAGATGTTGCAACCCCGTCATAATTCTTTTGGAGTTTGAGAGCCGACAGTGTCTGTAGGGCTCCTGGGGTCTAACCTACTTTCACTGCAGTGTGCACCGCGCCTTATCGTGGACTAACATGTTGTCTTCCTGTGCATTAACATAAGTGGATGCAGCTACGTGCACGATAAAGTTTGCGAAAGCCTTCAAGCCTAGCGAGACGAACGACATGAGGAACAGATGAGCAGATGAGTGACTGGGAATTTTGCCTCTTCGTGGATGTGCAGTTATATTTACTCTCTGAAGATCTGCACTCGCCGCCTTTGCTTTGGCTTCTATCTATCGTTCATGCATCTGTCTCTGTGTGTGTCTGCGGTGCTGGAGTACACGGCAGCAGCTAGTGGTTCACGAATGTTTAACTAGATAAAAGACAACATCTAGTAAATCGAATGTCTTTTTGCTTCTGACAGCGGTTGTGTGGCTTTAACTGTATTTCTTTCTCTCTCTCTCTCTCTCCGCTGATCATAAACCACAATGGCATTCAACACGTTGTCCGCGGAGAAAGTTTAAATCATCATGCCGTGTGAACGTACAACACACCCCGCCGCCTACTGAACCACTCGCCTTCCCTCATTTTACAAGCCGTTGAGACATAAACGCGTCGGACACTTTCATCTTGACATAACTCCTCAAGACATAACACTTCACCAAAGAGAGAAGGAGCGCACATTCTGTGGGAGAAACAAAGGCCGGCTTCCTTCTACGCCTGCAGGAGGGAGTTGTTAAGGGAGAGATATGCAGAAGCACATTATCAGTTTTCACAAAACTGAAGTGCCTGATGTTTTAAATTAATTTTGCGTGACATTTGTAAAACTGGAGCCACTGGAGGAGAGACGATAATTAGTCTGTATTTCAATTTCTGAGAGGATGTTGCTCGAAATACAACAAATAGTGAGAAATAACGGCAATCTAGAACAATACTAAATCCTTTTGACTGATTATTTCATACTGCAGTAGTTATATTCCTGTGCAAATCAATAGAGGATGCAATTGATATTACATGATGCAGACATTTTTACCCTTTACGGTTTAACCTTCAATTTATGTCTTTCCTGTATGGCTCAGTGCTAAATTATACAATATGTAATTTTCTCTTCACCACAATGGCACTATGATAAACTGTTAACGTGCCCATTTCAGAGTAGTCTTTCAAAGATAATCTCCGGAAATGTTCCTAGTTTGCACTGTGAGAAATAGCCTGCTTTCAACAGCTAATGTATTCAATCACGTTCCGCAGTCAGCTTGAGTTTAATACAACGATAATCCTGCATCGCCGGAGCTTCTTCCCCGCTCCGTGTTACTGTGCTAACGCAGGACGAAACCGGCTGAACCCGCTGTCATGCTGAGGTAGAACAACCTAAAAGAAAACACAATTTGACAACGGTGGATCCAAACAGTGTGTGCTGTGCTCACGGGTACTCTGTCTGAACACAGGACAGAGGACAGACATAGACTTACTTTGTCCAATTTCATAAGATTGCTTCACTCAATCAAGCCGAGACGAGACGAGAGAAGGAGGTTAACGACCAGGAAAAACAGCCCGTGAAAGTGAAACAATAAGTCACAGGTGCTGCGGGAAACGTGGGGACAATTGGCCCACGTGGAGGCCACATCGTGGAGGACGAGGGCCGGGGACGTGCCTGCTCATTTAAAGCTCTAACGGGTGTTTTGCGTTCATGCTGAATCTGCCGTTTTGAGTGCTGGACATTTGCTGCATGGGTGACGAAGCGTAGCGCTGACCTTTATGTCCTGGACTCAAAGTGCTGGACAGCCAGTAAGGGCGGTTGTGGTATCCGATTACTCCACAGTCACTTGCATTAGAATACTTGTTCATTCATCAGTTATAACAAATAAGAAGATATTACACATCGTGTACTATGCTTTCTTTTTTTGCTATGCTTTCATATAAATAAGGGATGTGAATACTTTCAGCTCTCAGCTCATGTACACACTCACACACACACACACAACAGCCAGTATTCACGGCGTAGCAAACCCTATAAAAGAGTAATAATCAGGTTGTACATGCGCCCTTTCATAACCAACCAAAGCAGCACTTTCTTGAGGACTAGACATGAAGCGTTTGTCTTTCCTTCCCAAGTGCTGCCTTTCGGTTCCTTTCATCCACCATAAACAGAATTATGCCTCACCCCGAGGGTAAGAGCTGCCGATTGGAAGCTGTTACCGAAGGCAAAGGCTCGGCTTATTTAGGCGGAAACACTTCACAGATTCATCTCTGCAACCTTTCTCCCTCCGTGCTCGTGTAGAGGATGTCGTAATAGGTCAGACTGGCGATATAATGAAAGCTTAAATAAGAGGCACACTCACAGCGCACACCTCTGCATTATCTCTGCTGCATGATGCGGCGCCACCCCAAGTAACTATGGCAACGGCACACTGCAATGCACCTCCCTATACTCGTACGTGTCGGCGTGTGTGTGTGAGTGTGTGTGTGTGTGTGTGTGTGTGTGACTCCTCACTGTGTTCCCTGCAGATAGATTAATTCCCTGCCAGATTCATTCCCCGTCAACTTGCCGAAACAAAAAGTTTCTGTTTTAATTAGTTTGGTGCAGTGTCTCGCTTCATCCATCTATCTGTATGGTCTCTCTCTCTCACTCTCTCTCTCTCTCACTTTGACTGACTCCCTCGCTCCTCCTTCACTCTTCCTCTTGCTCTCCAGTGTAATTAAACACACTCTGCATAGATAATAGAACCGTCATAGTGTGTAATTGCAATAATCAATACACGGTGCATACTAAGGAACTCGCCATTCATCAATACACTCAGAGGAGCCAACAAATGCTTGGCCCTCGTTCACTTACCGGCTATTTATGCAGTAATTGGTCATGCTGTGTTTGCCTTGGTACAGCATGGTGGGACATTTCAATAAAGCAGCCTCAGTAACTAACAGAGCAGACTTTCACATATTACCAAGAGACCAACTTCACAGTATTTAAGGATGACACAAATCTTTTCAGGGCTGTTTGTCCGTCAAGGATAGGAACGTCAAGCTTAGCAAAGAGACAAAGTCCGACTGGATTTAACAATGAATTCAATCAGAGATTCACTACATCAAATACAAACCTTGCAGCAAACTAAGTTGCACAATTTGACAACAGAGGATTTGTTTGGCTGCAAGCCACTTTGCATACATTAGAAGTGACAAATAATGTCCAAAAGGTAAGAAGACTTAACTTGACAGAGCTAAATGAGAAACAGATATATTCATGTATCTTTTTAACATTTGGCTGCTCCCCACCCCCCCCCCCCCCCTTTCTAAGGGTGTTCAGGAGTGGGGGGAACTCTCAATAGGTGAAGGTGGCGAACATGCACAGACAAATACCCTTACTGCAACAAGACTGCCCCCCCCCCCCAGGGGGTAACCTCACCTGGACACTGGAAGCCAGGGTACAGCAGCCTTAGGGCCCCCCGAGCACCAGCTCGGCTCAGAAGGGGAAGGAAAAGGAGATTGAGTGTGTTGTGGGATTTACAGGCAGGTAGAATTTCACTGTATGCGCATGAAAAAAATCTGTGTCTGTTTGAATGTGTCCACTTTTTGATCTGACCTTGCATTTTTAACCTTTGAGCTCACTTAACCTTTGCTTTACGGTTGGTCGATGACATCCGGCTTCATAAACCTCCACGTCGCCGTCTCACTGCCCTGTCGTGTTTCTGACTCTCTTACCTTTTTTTCCCCCCATCTCCATTGTGTTCCTCTCATCCTGCTGCGCGTCGCGTCGTCTCCATCTCCTCCTGCCTCCCACTCTTCCACCTCCCGTGAGGAGCGCTCAACCACACAGTGATAGCAAGAAAAGCTGCACCGTTCCACAGACACACCATGTGTTAGCAATAAACATAATTCATTCTTTCTTATTGTGCACCCCGTTCCCCCCCTGTGCATGATCCTGTTAGGGTTCGTATTTCATGCTGTCATTCAGAAATCATTTCTTCTTAGCTATTTTCCTCAGACCCACTCAAGTTGTTACTCTAGCTTCTTTATGCTATTCTCATTACCGTCTCCTCCTCTTCTGTCATTGTATCTTCCAGCTTTTACTGCCTATTCCCAGCTTTTCCCAGCTCATTTACCAAAAGTTGTTGCCTCGTTACGCCCACAGTCTACTTCCCATGATGTCGAGTGATGCACGGAATATTTTGTCTTCACAGGAAGGGCCTCTGACTATGCAACAAATTGCTATGCACATAAATTGTGTCATGCATATTAAATGAGACCAAAGAGGGAAATTTTCAAAGGGGGCAGAAGCGTCAAAATAGACAGCAGAAGGCGGAGAGAGGTGGATTGTGAGGACAAAGGTCATGTGACGGTTGTGAAGACCCCCAGGGGTCCCCCTTTGAAATCCTTCCGTCCACCATATGCTCAAGCTCTATTA